TTGCTTTGGTTTTCTGGGTATGAATGTGATTATATTATGAACTGTTGTCTTGCTGAGTTGTTTGTGTATTTGAATTGCTTGTGAGTATTGGGTAAAATGTCTATTGCATAAATTAGATATGTTTGTGTATGTTTTGTTTCTCTTGTGGGAGTTTGATAAAAGCTTGTTATTACATATCTGGGTATATGTGATGTGTGTTCAAATTGATCCAAATGCAGATGATGATTATCAATTCATTTTTATTTAATTATGGTTATGTAACTTCTTTATCTTTCTTGAGATTGATTACCCAATTGTGTTTTGCTTGATCTGGATGTGAGATGTAGAGGATCTTTCAGTGAAGTGTCACATAAGGGTTCATGGTGCTACTTGACCCTTCTTTAGATATGAGATCTAGAGGATATAATAAGTGATTAAGTGGTGGAGCATAAGGTTTGTATAGTCTCAATCTCTAATTGATGTAGTAGATATGATAAACAACTTACATTACGGGGAAAAAGTGGTTGAAGAAAAATAAAATTTGCGAAGTTAATAAAGTTACATTTTGGTTGTATATTGAATTCAGAAATTCTATGAAGCACGTGGATGGTTTCCTTATTGAGTGGTATTGCTGTTAAATTAAACGAGTCTGGCTTGGTTTGGTTCGAGCTCGAGGTCTTAACAAGTCGAGTTCAAGCTCATTTAAAACTCGTTCGGTTAACGAGTTGAGCTTGGTCGGTTTGTTAAGGCTTGAAAAGAAAATTTTTATATAATTTTTTATAGTTCGGCTTGTTAAAGCTCGGGATTGACTCATTAATAGTGATAAACGAGTCAACTTCGAGCTTGGTTCGACTCGTTTACAAGCCTATTGAATCGTTCATGAATTGATGTATTGACATAATGAATTTAAGTATTGACACATGTTTCTAAGTGTAAATATTTTAGGACAAGTTTCAATATGTTGTTTGTGTTAGTCAAATTGACAAGTGAGTGTACAATTAATTCCAACCAATATAACCAAAATCCAACTTTTTCAAACCTTCACACCAAATTACATTTTTTCCAACCAAGTTTCCTAATTTTCTTACTTTCCAACACCAAATTTGAGGCATCATCTTGCTATATATATGTGTGTGTTGCAAGAAGAGAAAATGTACCAAAGAAGAGAAGTGAAGGGAAAAGAAGAAAGAAAGGAAAGAAAGGGAAGAAAAAAAAAAAAAAAAGTGAAAAAAAATATATATATATATATATAGAAAAATTATCATATAGATAATTTTATTTCTATTTTTTAAGTGTTCAATTCTCGACTTCGATCTAGTTCGCCGGAGCTCGTAAATCTGGTGTGCTACAGATTTAGAGACGTTTGCCGTTGTATCTTTGGGGAAGTTACGCCTGAACCGTTAGCAACCACACGGGGCGTATTCTTCTTGCGGAAAGAGTTTTACTCGCCTCGGCTTTAATCTTTCCGTTTTAATTTTTAATTTAATTTTCAGTTCAATTGTAATTTTCTATTTTTAGATTATTTGTAAGAACTGAAAAATTTACATATCAGTTCGTAGGATTCCCGTGTATAATTTATACCCATTTATATAACAGTTTGTAAAACATGTGGATGACTCATGTATTGGCACATGTTTTAAGTGTAAATATTTTAGAAAACATGTCGATATATCATTCATAATCTATAAATAATTGGGGACGAATTCATAAGTCGTGTCATTCGATAGCTGAATAGCTAAAACCGATGTTGAATTGGTTGATTTTGTGATTCGTGATATATACTTTATCTTATATTTGAAGATTGGAATTTATAACTTTCATCATATTATGATGTAGCTTTTTATTTGAATATTTTGGTTAATTTTGGAAGTTTATTAAGTGACTTTTCATTCTCTGAAAGAACAAATTTCATATAACAGGAAAAGCCTTGCCTATTTGTTTAGGTTATCATGTTACATTTTCACATGATAATCTTTTATTGAGAATATATTGATGTCATAATTCATATACAAAGGAGTTGCCTTTTCGAATAATTTTCAACTTTAGGTAAGGATAGCGTATCATGTTCTTTTCTAATCTCGGATCTGCACTAACTTTGCTAAATATTATTTTAATAAACTCTTCTTATTAATTACTTACCATGTAGCATTAAATGTCACACAATAATCTAACATTAATAACTAAATATAATTTTAAAAGAAAAATCCATAGGAAGTAATAAAAGTATTCTAATAAGTTGAAATACGTATCCTAATTCCTAAAGGAGAAAAAGAATCATACAAAAATATATAAAATGATACGTTCTACACCTCGCATATAGGGTCTATATACTCCACCTTTCATCAATTAGAATAAAAGTCTAAAAAATTTTATCAGTAATGATACATATCTTCACAAATTAATTAGTTATAACTAGTGATGTTTTATCCGAGGAAGGTAACATCCATGCTATTATAATAATGAAAATAAATTATTACAAGTTTTTTTTTTTTTTTTTCGAAACGGCAGAAATACTCATAACTAAACAAAACAAACGTTTTACAAACCGAAAGGCTAACGAGCCCGAATGCGATAACAACACACTGGAGGCACATCACAACCGATGCCCTAGAATCAAATCTACAAAACAATAATCAGAATACTAGGCGAGGCCAAAGCCTCGAAACCCATATTCCATACAAACAAACCACAGCAACAATCACACACACACAAAAGGAGAAAAGGAAGAAAACTGACCATAAAGGACCTAGTCTACCAATTCTCCTTGCTAACTGACTTCATTTGGCTCTGCAGGCTACATACTCGGTCCATTTCTTCCACGCATTTTTAACAATAACGTTCTCCGGCATCCATTCCTTTTGAAACACCCATAAATTCCGAGCCTTCCACAACCACCAGAGGATATACGTGGATAATTGAATTCGGGCTTCGGAAGTCTCAGTTTTATTTAGCTCGGAAACTTGCCACCACCATTCCCTAAAGGTCCCTGTTTTCTGCTGACAGAATTCCCAATCCAAAGCCGAGGTCTCCCACACCTTAGCAGCCCTGTTGCAATAAAATAGTGCATGTTCTGTACTTTCCTTTTCTTCCCCACAACATTTACATATCCAGTCAACATCCATACCTCTTTTCTTCAGATTGTTTGCAACTGGCAGGGTCTCTGAAAATCCCCTCCATACAAAATGCTTGATCTTGCTTTTAATGTTTAGATTCCAGCATCTCAACCTAGCTGCCTTATCTCTGTTCCTTGATGTGCTGCTTTCTGGTCTATCCAGTTTCAAAATTTTATTCCATACCGCCACTGAATAAGCAGATTTCACAGAGAACATACCTTTGGCATCCACACTCCACACCCATTTATCTCTTTGCGAAGGATCCATATTTTTAATTTTGAGGATTTGGTTCACCACAGGTTCTTCAAAAAGTTCCCTGAGAAGTTCTAAATTCCAGTGTCTACCACCTCCATCAAATAGTTCAGCCACCAATGAGAGTTGCTGAGTGCAGTTTCTCTTAAAGCTAGGAACTCCATCCTTTGAATTCTGAAGCCAAGGGTCTTTTAGGATTCTGGTACTAAGACCATCTCTCACTTCTCTTCTGAAGAAATGGTGATAGGCATTCTTCACATCCACCCAGCAGGCCCACATCCAGGAGGACCCTTGTGTTTTATTTGCTTCTAGAATAGATCCTCTGGGAAAATATCTTTCTTTCAGTATTTTGGAGACCAGCAGATTGGGTTTAGTGAGTATTCTCCAGATTTGCTTGAGGATTAAAGCCTGGTTGAACAACTGAAGATCTTGGAACCCCAAACCACCCCAAAATTTAGGAGTAGTGACCAGATTCCAAGCTTTCCAATGAATACCTGGCTTGTTCACATCCCCAGTGCTCCACCAAAATTTAGCACACAATTTAGAGATCTCCATACAGATTCCTTTTGGCAGGGTAAACACTGACATAATGAAAACGGGAATGGCATTTATAACAGCCTTTAGTAAAACCTCTCTCCCCCCAGTGGATAGCAATGAATTCTTCCAGCTTTGCAGCCTTCTTCTCACAGCAACCAACACAGATTCAAAGGCTTCCTTTTTGGACTTTCCAATCCCCAAAGGCATACCCAGATATCTAGATGAATTATGAACTGTAATCCCATTAAGCAACCTGCATATTTGATTTTGAGTGACAGAAGGGGTATTCCTGCTGAAAAACACAGTGGACTTCTCTAAATTCACACACTGGCCAGTGAACTTCTGGTATTTAAGCAGAATATTCAAGATTGTATTACTCTGTTGACAGGAAGCCTCGCAAAATACCAACAGGTCATCTGCAAACAAAAGATGAGTGATAGCCATACCATTTCTAGCAATTTTCAGACCTTTGAATTGCCCTCTAAGCACCTCTGCTGCAATCAACTTAGATAACATTTCGACACTAGGATGAATAGGTATGGAGATAATGGGTCCCCCTGCCTAATACCCCTAGAAGGCTTCACAAAACCACAGACATCCCCATTTAAGTTAAAAGAGAAAGCTGTGGAGGAAATGCAAGCAGAAATCCATTTAACAAACACCCTGTCGAACCCCATTTGCACAAGCATTTTAATGATGCTGTTCCACTCAAGTCGATCATACGCCTTCATCATATCCAACTCAACAGCCATAAAGCACTTACTACCAGATCTGTGGCGGTTTAGAAAATGGATAGCTTCATGTGCAATAACCACATTATCCATGAGTTGCCTCTCAGGAATAAAAGCATTTTGAGATTCACCAATGCAATAGCTTAGGCAACTCTTTAATCTAGCAGTCAACACTCGGGATATGATTTTATAAGAAACCCCACAAAGGCTTATAGGTCGAAACTGACTCAGAGAAGTAGGGTTAGTGCATTTTGGAATGAGAGTAATAATAGTATGATTCCAACTTCTTAATAACATGCCAGATTGAAAGAAGCTCACCACAGCATTGAAGAGATCCTCCTTTATAATTGGCCAAAAGTGTTGAAAAAATAACGGTGACATGCCATCTTCCCCGGGAGCTTTTCTGGGATTCATACTGAATAATGCATCTTTTACTTCAGCTTCTGTGACCTCTGCTGTCAGATTCTTGTTCATCTCTTCTGATATGGTTTTAGGGATTAATTGAAGCAGTTCTGATTCCATAGAAGACCCTTCTGAGGTGAACAAATTCTCATAAAAGTCCACAATACATTTCTCCAGAGCAGCTTTATCCTCACACACATTATTTTGACTGTCCACCAATCTGGAAATGGAATTTGTCTTTCTCCTCTGCATTGTAAGTGCGTGAAAAAACCTTGTATTCTTGTCTCCTTCTCTCAACCATGTAGCCCTTGACTTTTGCATCCAGAATTGCTCCTCAGATGTGTGAGCATCATCTAGTTCCTGCTTCATTTTGTTCCATTCTTCCCAATTCCTTTGTCCTCCAGCTTTACTCATCTCTTCAAGGGATAAGGACAGTCTAGCTATGTTCTGAGCATTATTTGAGGTAAGAGCTTTGCTCCAGATAAGCAGAGCTACTCTTGTTTTCTTTATCTTTTCCTTCATAACAAACATAGGAGTTCCTTCTTGAGACTGCTCCCATGCCCCTCTCACTGTCTCTTCAATTCCTGGTTTTTGCAGCCATCTTTGATCAAAAGAAAACCTCTTCTTCTTTCTGTAATTCTCCATAGGTTCTGGATCAAGAACTAAAAGACCATGGTCAGAGGAGCTTTTGAATGTATTCAAGACCACACAATTTGGGTGCTCAGCTAACCATTGGAAAGAGCCAAACACTCTATCCAACTTCTCCTCAATGAAACCCTCAGATTGCCTATTATTCCCCCAAGTAAATTTATGCCCTCTCATATGGATTTCACCCATCCCCATACCTGTGATAAACTCATTAAAACCCACCAACTGACTATGGGATTTGGCTCTTCCCCCCTTTTTTTCCTCTGGATAGCAAATAGAGTTCCAATCCCCACCTATAAACCATCTATCACCCCACCTGTGCCTCACACTACTTAAATAATCCCACTGAGCTACCCTCTCCACCCTATCAGTGCTAGCATACACTAACACTACCCAACAAGAATTTTGGGATCCCACCATCTTAGCTTCCACTTCAAAACAAAAATCATTGCTAAAAATCTGCACCACTTCAACCTCAGTATTCCACATAAGCAATAAACCCCCACTAAGACCCCTAGGTTCAACCAAACTCCACCTGTTATGAAACCCCAACTTTTTACAAACCGTTTTAGAGAACTCCCCAGACTTCCTAGTTTCAGACAGAAAAATAAAATTTGGGTGATGGTGCCTAATGGCTTCCCTCAACTGGGATACTGTAGAGGGCCCACCCAGACCTCTACAATTCCACAAGATTGTCTTCATTGATCACTTTGGGGCCACTTAAGGTTGGCTACCACCACCTGTTTAGCTTCTAACTTGGTTTTTTTATTTCTTCCACCATCTAACCGCTCTGATGTCTCATCCTCCTCTTCTTGAGATGTCACATTCCTACTTCTCTTCAGTTCTGAGCATGCAGAGAAATCAAGTATTATACCTTTCTCTTTACAAGGTTTGTCTTCACTTTTTGGGACTCTTTTCCAGCTCTTTTTGATGCTTTTATTTATTTGTAGGGCAGGCTGTTTTGCTGTGTCCAAACTCTTGGTTGTAGCCTGAGTCTCTTTTTCAATCTCCATCTGTTGGCCCGCATCAATTGGTGCCTTCAGCAGTTGCTTCTCAGAGGTAGTCTTCATAACAGGTTTAGGACTTGCGATTTTGGATGTTGATAGTTGTTCTGGGTAACTTCGGTTCCCACCTCTCCCCTCCTCTGAACTGCCCCCTGGTTCCTCCACATTTATAATTGCTTTGCTCATTAATTTCCCAGACACAGGACTTAGAGAATCAAAATTATCCTTCTCCGATGATGACGGAACCTGGTCCTGCTTACGGGGCGTAACCACTTCATTTACCTGGCCTGAGTGGTGAGGATGGTTTTGTTTAGATCCTGTGCTGCTTGCTTCCGCTCTTAGCCATTCCCCGTATTGCCCATCCTGTAATTCTCCTTTATCGATGTCTTCACTTTTTTTCCCGCAGTTCCTCTCCAGGTGTCCAATTTTCCCGCAATAGAAGCACAAATTCACGAGCTTCTCGTATCTAAACTGCACTTCTGACTGAGTATTATGCAGCCTAATAGTAGAGAAACGAGGTACGGGTTCAGAGATATCCATGGATACTAGGATTCTGAGATAACTACCCTTCGAGCCCCCAGCCCTCACCATCATGACATTTTTCACCTTTTTGAAAATTTGTCGCACCTTTAACCCCACATCTGCAGTGAGCCAATGTAGAGGCACATTGTGTACTTGAACCCATAAATTGATCTGCTTGAAACATAAGCTGCGAGCTGATATGCCCTCTTCCCATTCACTGAGAACTAAATATTGGTTTTCAAAAAGCCAACTCGTACCTGTCAGCACTTTCTGTTTGTCTTCTTCATTTCCAAAAATAAATTGGAAGAAATTATGTCCAATCTCTCTGACCTCCAAAGGTGCTTCTATTTGCCAAATACTGCCCATCGTTCTTTTAATCCCAAATAGAGTCGCTTTTCTATCGCCCAATATTTTCCCCAGGAGACTACGACGGCACTCCTCACTGCTGAGAACCACATCCTCGTCTTCCAGGTCCACAATCTTTTTTTCCGATTGCGAAATAACTATCTTCTTCAGCCTTTTTCCCAATTCCTCTTCCATACCTAGAAAATCGCCAATGCCACTCCCCCAAAACAAAGGTTTGGTAAAAAGCGTCAATGCTGATTGTAAGAATCCCGAGATCTCATCTACATGAGAATGAAAGCCACTTCCAGAAGGGAATTTGAGGTCTCAGTCGAGATAATCGGGGCTCTCAGTCGAGAGAATTTTATAAGCTGGGAGCAACGAGCTGGTATATTTTTAATAATATCCAACGAATCCAAAAAAAGAAAAAGAAAAAAAAAATCTTAGATTATTTATACAACATGTCAACTTTGGTGATAGAATCAAGCGTTTGGGAAAATGTAAAAAAGTTGATATGGGATTGTACCTATTTGTTTAGTGGCCATTTTGAATTATTTTGCCTTAAGTGGTGTGATTCCACTTATCGGCCACATATAAAGGCCACAAAATGTAAATGCGTGTGACTGGGCCATGGAGAATTTTATTGTTTGTCTAATTTGAGAANAATTGGAAATGTCCAAGTAAAGAAAGGATAGCACAAGTACATCACGGTTGACCTCACAATGGGAAAGTGGTTTCTGCCAAGATTTCCAGTTAATAACAATAATAAGAATAATAAAACAATAGTAGCAATGATGATGATAAAGAAGAATTATACAAGGTTTATTTTGTTTTTGGTTGAGTATATTATTTGGTGTTGCATACAAATTATATATTTTTTTACAAATGATAAATATTATATAAATAATTTAAAGTCAGTACAAGATCAGTATATGCGATTGGATTTACCCAGACTATCAAATTGAAAAGACAACTAACAAACACCTAATAAAATGGAATAGACAACTAACACCTAATAAAACTCACAAAATGGGACACAATGCTCCTTTGGAGACTATAACTCGAACACAATTGGAAGTATACAACAACATACTAAAAACAACGGACTCTACAACAAAATAGAACGAAGTCTCATATTACTCGTAAATTGCTTCACAACCTAACACACAGACTAGTCTTTGGAAATTGGAACCAAAAACGAAAATAGCCCACAAATCTTGAACCACCAAATCTAAAAACTCCGAATTGGATTTGAACGATTCAACAGATCTAACTAAAGAGACGCAATTTGAGCCCATATCTGAGCACACCCAAAAGCTTCTGAGCACACCCAGGCTTAAGAAAACTCTGCCTATTGTTTTGTTTTCCATCTTCTAGCCAACCCCATTCTGCGCTTTGCTAATAACTTGGATCTACCCATTTTAGCTAATTAATATAAATTTGTATGTACTCAGACATACAAATTTAAAACAAAAATCCAGGAAACCTAAAATGAAATTTGAAAACTTGGAATTTATCTCTAGTAGATACTTGATATTTGGGTCATATGAACAATTACTTCTACTAAAGTGACGTGCACGCGTCAAAATACAACTCCAAATATATTACCATGAAAATTCTCCTCCATTCAACATAATAATAATAATAGCAAAATAAAAACAGCCAAATTGATAAAACATATATCTAATAAGCCCAGGAGAAACCCACAAACCGGTGTTGTCCCCCAAGCCAACACAATCCCAAAACTCATATAATTGTCCAACAAAACATAAAATCATCACATAAAAAAACCTTCCCCACCAATAACCAAACCACGGCACACATTTAGTCAACCTCCTCAATCTTGGGACCAGCACCCGATCCACCTGACGGCGCAGGACCATAGTCATCCATGGCAGCCTCACCACCAGCACCTTGATACATCTTAGCAATGATGGGGTTGCAAATGCTCTCAAGCTCCTTCATTTTGTCCTCAAACTCATCCGCCTCAGCCAGCTGGTTCCCGTCAAGCCACTGAATAGTGGTCTCAATAGCATCCTCAATCTTCTTCTTGTCATCGGCCGTCAGCTTGGACGCAATCTTCTCATCCTTAACCGTGTTCCTCATGTTGTAGGCGTAGTTTTCGAGCGCGTTCTTCGCCTCAACTTTCTTCTTGTGCTCCTCGTCCTCCGACTTGTACTTCTCAGCCTCTTGAACCATCTTCTCAATCTCCTCCTTGGACAGCCTGCCTTTATCGTTGGTGATGGTGATCTTGTTCTTCTGCCCAGTCGTCTTGTCCTCAGCCGACACATTCAAAATCCCATTTGCGTCGATATCGAAACATACAGTGATCTGAGGGACACCTCGAGGGGCAGGTGGGATTCCAGAGAGTTCAAACTTGCCGAGCAAGTTATTGTCACGGGTCCTCGTCCGTTCACCTTCATACACCTGTATCAAAACTCCAGGCTGATTGTCAGAGTAAGTGGAAAAGACCTGTTCTTTTTTGGTTGGGATTGTCGTGTTCCTCGGAATTAAGACAGTCATGACACCTCCAGCTGTTTCGAGACCAAGTGAAAGAGGGGTAACATCGAGAAGCAATAGGTCTTGAACCTTCTGATTGCCCTCACCACTCAGAATAGCAGCCTGGACAGCAGCACCATAAGCAACAGCTTCATCGGGGTTAATGCTCTTGCAAAGCTCCTTGCCATTGAAAAAGTCCTGCAAAAGCTGCTGGACTTTAGGGATCCTAGTCGAACCTCCCACGAGAACAACATCGTGGACCGTGCTCTTGTCCATCTTGGCATCTCTCAAGCACTTCTCAACTGGCTCCATACACTTTCTGAACAGGTCCATGTTGAGCTCCTCGAACCTTGCACGAGTTATGGTGGAGTAGAAATCAACGCCCTCGTAGAGAGAGTCAATTTCAATGGTGGTTTGGGCAGTTGATGAAAGAGTCCTCTTCGCACGTTCACAAGCTGTCCTCAGCCTTCTCAAAGCCCTCGGGTTTCCAGTTATGTCCTTCTTGTGCTTCCTCTTGAATTCCTGGACAAAGTGGTTGACCATCCGGTTATCAAAATCCTCCCCTCCGAGATGAGTGTCACCAGCTGTGGCCTTCACCTCGAATATTCCCTCCTCAATGGTCAAAAGGGAGACATCAAAGGTGCCACCACCAAGATCGAAAATCAGAACATTTTTCTCCCCAACGCTTGTGGCCTTCTTGTCAAGACCATAGGCAATGGCAGCTGCTGTGGGCTCGTTGATTATGCGCATGACGTTAAGGCCTGCAATGACACCAGCATCCTTTGTGGCCTGGCGCTGGGAGTCGTTAAAGTAGGCTGGGACTGTGACAACAGCATTCTTGATGGATGAGCCGAGATAAGCCTCAGCAATCTCGCGCATTTTCATTAGGACCATGGAGGAAATCTCCTCAGCCGCGAATTGCTTGTCCTCGCCCTTGTAGTTGACAACAATCATGGGCTTGTCGGCTGGTCCTGGAATGACCTTGAAGGGCCAGAGCTTGATGTCACTCTGTACGGAGGCATCGGTAAACCTCCTGCCAATCAGTCTCTTGGCATCTGTGGAGACAAGCAGCAAACAAGGAAGTATACTGGTCATCAGCTCAAAATGCCAATCCGAAATGCATGTAAACAAGGTCCAAGAAGCTAACAAAAACAACATAACGTAACCCAATTGCTGAAAATTGAAATGCGAATCATAAATTTTCCATTCATAATTCATAAGTGAGCAATGACGGAAATATTTTGATTACTGTAACATCTAATTGACAAATTTTTTAGCTTGTGTTCCAATAAAACATTGAAGAATTATCAACATAGCATCTGATTAGTGAATTTGTAACCTTATGTTTCACAAATAATTGCAGAATTTCAAACTAAAAAAAAGAAAAATGTTGAGCCAATGGAAATTTATTTCCCTTATATCCAAAAATTAATTCCAGATTTCATACAGTGCACCTGTTTAAGCTATGTTGTTATGAGCATAAGAAAGCTTAAATACAAATAGCCAATTGATTACAAATCAAAAAACTAATATGCTGCAAACAATAATTTTCAGCAGATCTCGTAAATTCCCACATAAATAATATTAACCAACACCGTATAGCACAAGATCTACTCAAATTCTATCTAGATCTGAATATATATAACCAGGCAAAATAAGCTTCACTAGCAGGACTATGTAACAAGCTCAAGACGAACATTCACAAACACAAACATCATAAAAATTCAACAAAGAATAGATGTGCACGAGATCTACTGAACCGTAACCCCCTACACTTAGATCTAACAAAAGAACGGGAACACGAATCATACCGAAAACAGTGTTGGTCGGATTCATGGCGACCTGGTTCTTAGCGGCGTCGCCAATGAGCCTCTCGGAGTCCGTGAACCCGACATACGACGGCGTGGTCCTGTTTCCCTGATCATTGGCGATGATCTCGACACGATCGTGCTGCCACACGCCGACGCACGAGTAGGTCGTTCCCAGATCGATTCCGATAGCGGGGCCTTCTCCCTTAGAAGCCATTGCTTTGTAACTGCAAATCTAAATCGAAATGTCGGCGAGAAAGAGTTATTAGAGTGAAATCGAAGAATTATTCTACGGCGGACTAGGGTTTGTTAGATGGAGGAGAAGGATTGGGCTCGAGGGCTTTTATAGGGGAGGAGATGCCGAGGAGTGATGTTCTTAGGTCTCTCTGGAATGTTCGGAAAGCCCTAATACCTTGGAGCCGTTGGACTAGTTGTTTTTGATTGGCTAACGCGCCGAGTTGCCGACCAGGACCTTTGACCCGTTTGTGGTAGGAAGTTGGGTTTGTCCAGCTGTGTGTGTTATGTTTCTATTTTTCTATGGGAGGGGTATCCCCTTATCCCTTCCTTTCTATATTAATTCAGCACGTGCTGAGCCTATGTGACAGACTCTCATGTTTCGTAATTCTATGTGTCAAAATTACATACTTCGTTATTAGGTTTGGAGAGATTTAATTTATTTCTAATCCAAATATATTTAGGTTCGGATTATCTATAAATATGTTGATTATTTATGGTACGGGTGGGCGCGGGCCGGGACGGTCCTAGATTTGATTTATCCGGATACCCATCCAACTTTTATGAATCCATCCATGAACGATGCTGGATGAAGCACTGGCCCCACGCATGTAATACATGAGTGTTGTATTAATACTCCCTCCGTTTCTTATTAAATGTCGTTTTAATTTAAAACTTCTAAATTACGATTTTAATGGGTTGTGTAATAATCTTATGTTTTAATCTTATTAAATTTACTTTTTGAATTATTAATGGGTGGTTTTAAAGATAATGATAAGAGATAATGTTTGTTAAAGAGAATAAAGATGTAAGAATGAATATAATATTTCCAACGACAATTAATTTGCAAAAAAGTGACACCCTACAACGACATTTAAAACGAAACAGAGAGAGTATTACTTTATTTAATAGTGATGAATTTTTAATTGGAAAAAATGGAAAGAGTACTTTATTTATATAAGTATAGATTACAAATAATAATAATAATAATAATAATTACCATAATAGAATTTTAAATAAGTCTTTGATATTTTGGTTATTTTCGATAGTCCTTCTACATCTTAATAAACAACTCCCGTATTTTTTTTTTCTTTGGCCTAAAATTTTCAGTCAACCGCCTAGCCCAGTGTTTTAATTTTTTGACACTCTTTTAGTTTTTTTCATTTTTTTTAGATATTTTGTTTCCCCAAAATTATGTGGAAACATCTCCACTTCATATTTGTATCTTTTTCTCAAATCCCAATAATTCCACTCGATTCAAATTTTTACTTATTGGGCCAATTTGTACGTTTCTTTATTTGGGCCGTGTAGAATTTTTTCAATCAATTTAGTGTTCTACTTATTGGCCGTCATATTTTACACCTCCGTATATACATGCACTTTTTTCCTTCTATATTACACAAAAAAACAAATATTTTGTAAACCAATTAATAAGCGTGGAGCGGTTTATGACAAATTGGTCATCACAGAAATAATGTCCAACCAATTATCTTTGAATTTGAAAACTAAAAGTTGTGTTTTAATAGTCATGCGTGTGACCAATCTTATGCCTATAATTTCTTTATTTTATCACTATTTTTAGGTGAGTTTGTGAGCATAAGTTCCTTCTCGATAGTCTTTTGATGCAATTTTTGGATCAATTTGTTTGAAAATTGGGAATATCATCTTCAAACATAAATAATTTGACATTATGGGCTGGTTGATTTATGGCAAAATAGATTGTTATATCACGACCTTTTCCCAAATTGCAAAACCATCACGACTTTTGCACATTGGCGCAGAATATCATGACATTTGATTTCTTTGCAAAACGATACACCAAAGTCGAAAATCGGCCATCAGTGCTTACGTGTCCGACCAAACTTTTATTAGGTGGAACTAAATATCTGATGTGTAAAACTTAATCCGACTTGGATTCTGACATGGAAAACCAGTATGAATTATAGTAAAGTCAACAAAGTCTACTGATTTTGTCTCTTCACCCGCATTCATAAATAAATATATACATACACACACACTATCACGTAGTTTTTTCCCAGGCGGCTACACTAGTTTTTTCCTTTTAACAATTCACCACCACCTCAACCTTCTCTACACCAAATTACAATGGTGACTCCTTTCCCTTTCTGTATCTTCCTTACTTTTTATTTTTTGGTTTTCACTCTGCGTGACTTGGAAGTGTTCTAACCGCGTCAATGGCAGTGAAAAACATAGGGACCCATAAATAGAGAGCCATCACTTTTTATTTTTTGGTTTTCACTCTGCATGACTTGGAAGTGTTTTACGCCGCTTCAATAGAAGTGAAAAACATTGGGGACCCATAAATAGAGAGCCATTGCCTTGAACGATGATGGGAAGACAGACCCACAACATAAACAAGAAAAGGATTGCGAGCCCGACCTGAAAAAAATTGGCCAACACATTGCTCCTCGAAATCTTGCCCTCGGGCTCGCCAAAATGGAACGCCCTCTTCAGAAAGCACGAAGAATTTGGGGATGGCCCGAGTAGTGAAATAATGTCAAGCCGCTTCAGGGCCCGGACCGACTGCTCCTTCAACGCCGTCGGGAGTAGCAACTCCACGATGGGGGACTTTCCCGGCAGGCTCCAGTGCGCAGGCAGGGGAGCCTTGCGATAAACCTAGTGGAGTTCACTATCGGCAGCGCCCTCGACGGCATGGCGGAGGACTTCTACGTCGTGAGCTTGGTCGACGGGTACAACGTGAGCCTAGTGCGGCCATTGTCCCGCAACTCCAACGACTGCATGTACACTGGTTGATGAGCGGGGGTGCCAAGAGAATTGGGGGATAGAGAAAATTAGGGTAAAGCAGGAGCAAATTAGGAGAGGGAGAGAAGAGAATTGGGTGAGAAATTGGACTATTTATACTTGTTTTCCATGTCATTCTACACGTGGGATAAGTATATACACATTAGACTTTTAATTTCAGGTTGGTCAGACACGTAAGCACCCATGACAGGTTTTCGACTTCGGTGTATCGTTTGGCAAAGAAATCAAATTTCATGATATTTTGCGTCAAAGTGCAAAAGTCGTGAAGTTTTTGCAATTTGGAAAAATGTCGTGATATAACAAACTATTTTGCCTAAATTTATTTTATCTTTTTTTTTTTCATAAAGAAAAGAATAGATCATCGATTTAAAAAATGAAATGGTGAGAAAATTATTGTTTTTTAATTGGAGTTAATATAATAGTTGATTTGATTAGCAGATTGTATTAGTTGTTTGTGAATAGTAGTTTGGTAAATAACGGATTGCATATAATTATTTTGAAAATTATATATAAATGTATGTATATAGATGTTATTCCAGGAATCCTCTCTTATCAAAATGCTTATATATTAATTTTTTTTTTTCAAAATTAGCGTTTGAGCTCAAAAGGCTAATCAAATAAGCTTTTATTAAACAAACTAATTAACAAATTTAACAGGTCAAACCTCTAAATGATGACATTCTCCTAAGATTTTACAGTGACCTCTAAATGATGACATTCTCCTAAGATTTTACATCAATCCTGCTAACATTCTAACATCTAAATGATGACATTCTCCTAAGATTTTACATCAATCCGCTAACATTCTAACAGGCCTACGAAAATATCTAGCTCTAAAATATTTTGGCTCTTATTATTATTTTTGTTTTCTGGAGCTGGTAAGGTACTAATTGATTCAATTTATATATATATATATTTATTTATTTATTTTTAACGGAAGGAAACAATTTTTTTCTTCGATTATTTGGTTAATTGAATTACAAAAAAAAAAAAATGATAATAATCGATTTGAATTAAAAATTGACCAAAGAACACAAAATATATTATTAGAAACGAGAACCTGAATAAAAAAAAGTAAAGAATCGAAGCGTACAAATCGAGAATTGGAACTTGCTAATGCATACAGCATATAACATTGTACGCATGTATATTATGCGTATACATTCAATTAGTATAAAAGTACAATGTGTCACCATGTCTTGGTGCTTCGATAAGCATCCAATAATGATCTTTCAACACTTCTAGACAAAGATTTCTGGTATTAATCATGTCAGACATCGTACTGTTCTTCATGTAAAAATCATATTTAACGAAAGCCTGATATTCTATAGCTATTTCTACATTTTCAATCATATTACTTATAATTAAGAATATTGTACAATTTTCTCTAATTTTATACAATCTTTGCAGTAGCTCTCCAAGATTGAAATCCTATCCAAGCATCAATATCATCAGCCCATTGCCTTGGATCTTTCGTAGACTGCACGAAACACCATTTCATTACATTTGCACCAGATTAACAAATTTAACAGCCCAGCAAATGTTATATAAAACCAAAACGTTTCAATGTACGAAAATGACTTTCCAATTATCAAGAAAAGAAAATTGGAAAAACGTCAGCGCCAAAAAGAAGCATCGAGAGATTACTAGTACTCTCAAAAATTACCGCTGAGGTTAAGCCTAGATAACAGTTCATTTTCTCTCAAAAATATGATGCATTGTAAGGACACCCAACTCCTATTAGTTCACAATAAGTCTATTTTTTGGCCCATTAAGTTAGTTTTCAAATGGAGATATTTTGACATGCTTAGGAGTTAGGACCAACGCATAAAGGTTTGTCCAAAATTTCCCATTATACCACTTAATTAATCTACTAAAATCCATTTACAACATANAATACTATCATTTAAGGGCATATTAATGTATTTTAACACTTTCTTTCACATGCACACATTTTCCTTAGGAAACTCTTATAGTGAACTAGAGGTAATGTTTTTCTTTGGTTTCTTTTGTTTTTTTTTTTTCTTGCAACTAAACTATAAAAACTTCAACAATCACATGGAACCTAAATCCTCTACAAACAATAGCTTAAAGGAAAAGGAGTAGAATTACTGTGACCTCCCTTACAACATATAGCTTGCTTACAGAAAGACAATCTTTATCCTGTGAAATTACAAAACAGCCCCCCTTAAAGTTTGTGTTTACTTAAAACTTTCCCCCTTCAACAGATGAGACTTAACTAACTCGAAGTGATACTTATGAAAACTACCTCTAGCAAATGGAATTCACTAAAAGAAGACTGGATAGTTCTGAGCACAATTAGACACATGACACGATTGACACGACATGACCCGAAACATAACATGAAAAACACGATATAAAAAATTAATTCAAATTCAGATATACTACCATATTTATAATAAAATAAAGTAAATAACACGCACACACGAACACGATAGCCCGATTTGCCACCCCTACTAGAGGGAACATATTATTAAGTCCATCTAATATACAATGAAAAGCAGAACAAAATGACATTGCTTACCAAGACAAGAAACCTGCAGCATTAAGAGAAATCACAAGTACGCCATCAGAGCTGCAACAAAGAAGCATAAAATTAGAACATAATAAAACCAATTTTTACTACCTTCCTCAATCTGTCTAAATTTTTTACTATTGTGTAACTATGGTAGTTCATTATAACAAATTAACATGCAGCTATACCAAATATGCACTAACAGACACTAAATTACAGAAAAACAAGTGTGCAAAGACAATTCATTCACTATATTTAAAGTGAAATTACTTAAGACAAACGTAATTATGCAGCTAAATTGACTAGACCATAAAAATAAAATCGATAGCATTTTATGATGACTAGTGAAAAAATATCTAGGAAGAATATATATTGAAAACACATAACTCAAACGCTGCTAAGATTGTGTTACTTATCAATAACATTAAAGGAGTGACAAAGAAAGTGATTGTAAAGGTTTAGCAAAAGAAACAATACAAGTGTATGGAAATGTCAAACTAACCTTAAATTAGCATTATTCAACTTCTCCATCAGATGCTCTCTCCAACTGACATCAATTTTCAGCTTGTTTTTTTTCCTACAAACGCCACCAGCTTTTGATTCTCAATTGCTTTAGCTTTGGCTGCAAAGAAAGCAATTCTCCTACACAGCACATACTTCTGCGAGCATTCCAAAAAAATGGGAGACCGTAATAAAGATCAAAGATAGCTACTAATGTGCAGTAAACAAACATTAATATAGTGAGCTGATCATCATCTATCATGGAGCTGTGTGCTCGTGCATACAATCTCAACAACAACCAGCTGATGAGCGGCAAGGGAAAGGACGTGGTTGAGGACTATGCTCGACAAGATTCAGAAATCGCGTAGCTGCCCGAAGTGGAGGTGAGGACCCACACGAGGTCCATCCTAAGAGGTCTCTGTCACATTCAAGGCCTCGGCTACGTTCACTGCGACTGGATTGTCATAAACCCGACTGAAAGGTGATTGACAAGCCAGTCGCAGCGCACGTAGCCTAGGCTGTGAACGTGACTGTTGTGTGGCCATCACGGGAACACCGCTTCAGTCATCGGCAGCAATGCCAGAGAAATTGTCTCTTTGTGCTCGTCTGACCGCATGCAAGCCCTCTTGACCTTCCAGGGGTGCTGCTCGTCTTACAGGGCTCCCGGACAGATATTCGCCGGATGCCCCACGCAAGGGCTTTAGCCGGCGGGTTGAGCTTGGCGGCGACGCGGTGGCACAGTGACGACACAAAGCCGACCCTCAGCTCGCACACACTCTAAAAGGTCACGAAGAACAGATTGAGAGAGTGAGAGATTGATCGGGATTTTTCACTCATATAGAGAGAGAATAAGTTCAGTCGCAGCAGCAGGAGAGAGTGAAGTGAGAGTTAGTCTAAGAGTGGTGTGAGAGGATATTTAAAGCTTGAGACGGATGGCTGGGATTTAATCCCTAAATCCAACGGTCAAGAGACAACCTGAAACTTAAGGGTGTGTGAGGGCCAGGCCCAAACGGGAGTTTGGGCCGGAGATTCCTTGGGCCTGAGATAGGGATTGGGTTTGGGCCAAATTTCCCGAGTGACGTGAATTATAGATACAGCAAGCTATTCGGAATTTCTGCTTAAACTTCTTCACATCAGACTTAGAGCTCGTGAGACTGAGACCCTTAACAACAACCTTTCTGAACGTCTGCTTTTAGCGTCCTACATCCATCCCTAGTGCAAGAGAGCAAGAACTTAGCAGCCAAACAGTAATCTCCTGGCAACGAATCCTTTACATCCATCTGAGTCAAAAATCTGCAGCGCATAATCCAGATGACCTGCTTTACATAGACTATTCACGAAGCAATCAAAAAGCAACCAAACCATCGAGCCCCAGCATTTTCATATGATCCCAGTGTCTCTGTGCGACATCAATTTCGCCAATCTGACAAAGCCCGTCAATCAAAATAGTATGCGTGTAGGCATCACAATTACCACCCCTTTCTTTCTCCATCGGGATTAAATTCAGCTCACAAACTGTTATATCGAAACAATTGCACCCCCGAAAACAAGCACACAAAAAAAAAAAAAGAGTAATCGACCTGACTAGAAAGGCAATAGCTACTCGATCGCGACATTCGTAGCCCGATGGCGAAAAGGAAAATGGCGGCTGCAAACGCTTTCGAGCTGACCACACGAGAAGGCGATCGGTGAATGGTAACAGAACCACAAAGGGGAGAGGAATCTCGTTTGGGAACTTTATCGAACAGATAAAGAGCATCTTCCAAAAATTGAATGCTCTTCATTTTTCTCCCCGTAGTCAAATCTTGAAACAGGGTTGTTGGAAAAATCCCTTTTTTTCTTTTCTTCTCATCATTCGTTAAGTTTGATGGAGCTCGCTATGTATTTACAGAAATTATTGGGCTTTCATCTGGTCCAATAAATGAATCTTACCACTTCAAGGCCCAACGATTTTGATCAGAATGTTGTAATTTTTTTTTTTTCCTAATTTAAGTTTTAACTAAATTAGATGAAAGAATTACAAAAATAGACATAATAGTTTTAGGTGTATTTTCCTCAAATACTCATATTTATGAGATATGGCATGATTATGGACCTAATTACTCATCATATTAACTAAGGTCGTACTAAGAATATAGTGTAATTTTTTTAATTTATAAAAAAAAAAAATACCAAGTATAGTTTATTAATCGGGGTGAAAATGTGAAATGCAACTAAAATCGTTGAACAAAAGCAGAGGTGTTATTCCATCTGAGATGAGCTCTTCGTGTTTGAGCTCGTGCTCGTTTGACAAAAAAGTAAACAAAATATTCACTAACAATCTTGATTCGGTGGGTTCATTTAAATAAATGAATGAGCCAATTCAAACTTTCAGTTTAACTGATTTTTCAGCTAAACTGAGTTGTGTTAAGGGACATATCAGTTTGTACAACAAACTCTATAAAGACGAGTTGTGTTAAGAAGTTTTATTACGATTTTTTAAACAAATTTTGTTACATTTAAATTTATTTATTAATGTAAAAAATATATTTTTAAATAAAAAGAAGAGTATTAAACTTTTTATCAGTTAATTTAAACATTTAAAAATTTTAAATAGTTCAAATATTTAACCAATATCTTTTATATAAATTGATTATAAAAAATACTATATATATGTGTGTGTTAAAATATTAAAAAATTATGTTACGGTCGAACCAATAAATCACTAAATAAATTACTTGAACGGTTCAATGATGGTCCGGTGCTTAGAACATTGGATTTACCCTACATTAATTAAAATTGTTAATTTGTAATACAATATCATTTTATAACATAAATATTAATAAAATGATATATACATATTCATAAATCATCGAATATTTTGTCATAAAAACATTTTTAACTTGATTATTTAGAGTTTGGACTACATTACATTTATCGTATTAAAGTACTTTGATATTCAAATTTATATTTAATTTCAATAATCGATTTGAGCGAGCCAAATTGACAAATAACCCGGTCAACCGGATCAACCCTATTTGTGTCATTTTTCTTGACTATTTTAAATATCACCTAATAGTAAATAATTTAATCAACCTGGGTAGTATCTTAATTCAATCATCAGATTGATCCAAATAAATTTTCTTGTTTTCCTTAAATATATTTATCTTATGAAGCAAAAAATATTTTATGGTTCATGTAGTACATGTTTATAGTATATGAGAAAATATTAAGATTATAAACTACATATCTAAATAAATCAATTATTTATTACGCTAGCATATTTAAAAAATAAAACATAATAATTTTTAAAAACTTAAAATTAATTAATTGATTATGCAATTGGTACGGTGACGCAATATCAACATGAATTACATAACATATATAGTTGGCATATCAATTAATGTTTTGGTAGTATGTTATTCATAAATGGGAAAAGTCCAAAAATGGTCCTCCATGTTTAGGGGGTATCCAGACTGAGTCCCTATTATGTTTTAGTGCCCAATTTTGGTCCTTAAAACAAACAAATGTAGTCCCTATAATAAGGAAAGTCCACTTTTGGTCCTCCATGTTTAGGGGGTATCCAGACTGAGTCCCTATTATGTTTTGGTGCCCAATTTTAGTCCTTAAAACAAAAAGATGTAGTCCCTATAATAGGGAAAAGTCCACTTTTGGTCGTCCATGTTTAGGGGTATCCAGACTGAGTCTCTATTATGTTTTGGTGCCCAATTTTAGTCCTTACAACAAAAAAATAGTCTCTTTACATCAATTTTTGTGAATTAACGGTCCATTTTTGCTCGACCGTTATGTTCTTTATTTTTTTAAAATTTGTTGACTAATGTCAACTTTGATCAAAGAAAAATAAAAGAAAATTTAAATGCTGAAAAGTAAAAGAAAAAGCAGAAATGGTGAACTACAGTGAAAGGTAGCGCCTAGGGACTAAATCCGATCGAGTGGATGGAAATAGTATGGTATTTTGTAGATGTGGGCTGGTTGCAAAGTTGACTAAAAGGATGATAATCCCAGTCCTGTAAGTACTTTCCGTGAACTTCAATTGGAATACCCCTTTCTTCTTGTTTATTGGACTGATGAAAAGAAATGGTTAAAAAAACAGAGGGTTGATAGGTGCAATTTTTTTCGATGGCATGACCCGAAAATTGGTGCAAGAGCAGTAGCTGTGATTCCACGCTTGCTCCGCAGCGCGAATGCTAGGGAAATAGAAATCAGACGAACAAAAATTTTAATTTAATTTAGTGCGATTTCTTGTTTTAGTTTAAATTTTGATTAATATATTTTTCAACATTTAAATTTTCTTTTATTTTGCTTTGATTAAAGTTGACATTAGTCAACAAATTTTAAAAAAAAAATAAAGAACATTACAGTCGAGCAAAAATGGACCGTTAATTCACAGAAATTAAGGTAAAGAGACTACATTTTTTTTTAAGGACTAAAATTGGGCACCAAAATATATTAGAGACTCAGTCTGGATCCCCCTAAATATGGAGAACCAAAAGTGGACTTTTTTCTATTATAGGGACTACATTTTTTTGTTTTAAGGACTAAAATTGGGCACCAAAACATAATAGAGACTCAGTCTGGATACCCCCTAAACATGGAGGACCAAAAGTGGACTTTCCTTCTTATAGGGACTACATTTGTTTGTTTTAAGGACTAAAATTGGGCATTAAAATATAATAGAGACTCAATCTGGATACCCCCTAAACATGAAGGACCACTTTTGGACTTTTCCCTTCATAAATTATTAAATATCACAAATGGTGATGTTTATAAAGGAAAGAGTGTTTTAAAAATAAATTATATATTTATTTTTATTTTATATATAGAACCTACGACAATTTTTCATAACTATTATTTTGTATATTGTTAAACAATTATTTATTAATTCAATTTGAGTGATGATGTAGTAATCATTATAATTATAAAAATTATTTTCCTTATGCTTTTAAAGAAAGATTATTTCCAATCAATTATAGAATGCTAAAAGGGAAAAAAAATAAAAATATAGAGTTTAATTTTTTTACTAACTAAAAGTGTTTAATTAAATTGTATGATTTATCATTGTCCCTTTCATTGCACGAGCTATCTATGTATACAAGGAGCTAGGAGCCTAAGACTCAACTCACAATTTAATGAGAGTCTAGCGAGTTTTAGAATATCTTTCTAAAATATTACCTTATATATATATATTGTGGTAAAAGCTAAAATAAATAACAATTGGGATGCAAAAAACTGAAAAAGTTATCCTTTTTTATCTCACTGCAAAGAGCAAAGTGTACCGTACTGCAACTGCACTATTCGCGTGATCCTCCCCATTGAAACACACTATAGCTGTTTTCAGTCCTTATTGCTCCATTTTCACCACTATCTGCTAAAGCCTAACGTTCTACACAAGATCGATCGCTCAACAGTGATCCGCAGCTCCCAATCAATGGCAGGCGGCGAAAGCAACACCACCACCGGAAAGGACGCGGTCGAGCTGGAAGCTATGCGCAAAGGCAGCTTCTCATGGCACCCTTGCCAGGTCTCTCTCTGGTGAGTTCCTTTTCGTCGTAGGTTCCAATCAATGGCAGCTTCTCAGTTACTTTTCGCAGTAAGTAGATTTACTTTTTTCTTTTTGTATCCATTCTACTAAGAGATCGTGAAGCACATTTGGTTCAAGATGTTTGTAGCTGTGATTTGGCTGTGGCATGTGTGTGGTGATTACTCTAGTGAAATTAATGTTCGGGGGTAGTTTTCTGGAATCATGTTTCACTTCTGAAATTGAGCTGTATGGCTATTATTTTGTGATGGGTAAGGTAATATAAGGAAATCTGTGCGTTTGGATACAAATATACGCATATATGCAAATAAATGGAACAAATGAGGACCAACAACTTGAGTGGGAACTTAAGAAAGCTGCTAATTACTTTTTATGTGATGTTATTTTAACAATGTACGATGACAAATAGCAGTGTGTTCCTACGTTAAGCATGGTTTAGTTTAAACGACACCCTTTGATTACTTGATTCTCTTATTGGATTTAGTTTAATTAAATCAGGAGTGTAGTTGAGTTTGCATTTAAAGTTTCTTTAAATGCTTTCTATTTTGGTCCACCAAGTCAAGCACTGATGAGTTCCAATTTTAGTGAGTACGTAAAGCATACCAAATATGGTTCGATAGGTTAGTTAATTGGGAGGTTTTACTGATTTCGGTTGAATTTCAGTAAATTTTATTTTCCTTGGAGCCATAACGTTTTCGGATGACTTTTTATGGGCTTAATTACATATGAGTGAACATGTATTCCATGAGTGTTATAATTTTTTTGTCCGTGCAGCTCGAGTGGGTCAGGTCTTATTGTGAAATATGAAGACAGCCATTCACAAGAAGTGATTGCCGATAAAGAGGAAATACTTTCGCGTGTTCGTGTGCGTTCGACTCCATTACAGGGTGATGATTGCTCTTCTCTTGAGCAAGGGTATCATGTGCTTGCCCAGAGCCTACTTTCTAGGAACGTCTTCTATGATGCTCGGGTGGAAAAGGTACAGTTTAATGATCTCTTTGTTCGTTTCTGTATAAATGCTACTCAGGTGAGTAATAGATAGAAATAATGTTTTTTTTATTGGAATGCTATTACAGAAAATCCATTTTTCTGATGTCAAGATGTAACATAGAAGTTCATGCTATGGTCAATTTGGGAGTAGCTCTCTTAGTAAATGTTTGGCTTGAGGAAGAAAGTGCACTGTTTTTTTGTCTATGTGTTTTTCAGTTTTCAACACCTTGCTTTTTTGGCTTGTGATCTGATTAGGAAATGCTGAACTAGTGCTCGACATGTGAGGTGAATGGATGTTTGGTTTAGGAATAAAAGATGAGTTTCATCAAAATAAACCTTACACCCCAGTTGCCATGGAGAAGATCTTGGTCCCATAACCGGTCTTTTTCCTTGATGATCAAAATTTCCAATTTTCTATTTTCTTGGTTTGTGGTGTGTCTGTCTATTCTTGATTCCTCGATTATATGCATTTATTTAACTTTAGATTTTATTCATAAGAATTCATCGGTACTGAGGAGTGAGGACAGAATCTTATTGAGATTGGAACATAGTTTTTTTTTTACCCAACTTATTCATAGTTGATGTAATTAACTAATTATGCAGAAATGCATTGCCAATTTTTTCTTTTTTTTCTTGGGACTCAATTGTTAATTAAGAAAGCTCGATGAAACTAACAGGCAGTCCGTGTAAGGCACTCGAAGAGGACCCTCTGCAGATGTTCCTTCACTGTCAAATGGCTCAACCAATCTATTGGGGATGAAACCTTGACTGTCCCAGCCACTGGAGTCATGAAACTATCTACTAAAAGCATCAATCTCCACCCGACCATTTCTACTTTCTTCAGCATGCTGAAATCCATAAATGACGTAGAAGATTCAATGTGTTTAAAAATTGTTGACGATATGAACTGGGAAAAGGATATTAACGTGCTGCTGGAAAAACAAATAGAGGAGTTAAGTAATGCCACTGATGCGCACGTGAAGATTTCTAGAGACATTGTTTATGGTTTCGCAGGTGATTTTTCGCAATCCATTTTTCTCAATCAGCTTCATGTGAATTTTTGGTATTCTGTTAGGCAACCAGTGTCACCTTCATTAGCCAAAATACAGAAAATGATCGAATTAATTATTTAATTCACAACTTTTGTGACAAAGCAGAGACAATTGTATATAAATACAACTGTCTTTACGAAACGTAGTTTATTGNAAATGAGAAGAATGAAGACATAAATCAACTCATACTGTGATTCCACTTTTAGAATCACTTTAGTTTCAAAACTTCATGTTAAAAACCCATGAAATCCCTACTCGTGGTTGACAATACGATAATTTCCCAAGTGTTTGAGTCATCCACCCGTTGGGGTTGACATAGGTTTAAAGTAAAAGAAAAAAAAAAGAAAAAAAAAAGGAAAAATGAGAAGACTGAAGACATAAATCAACGCATACTATGATTCCACTTTCAGAATCACTTTAGTTTCCAAAAACTCCATGTTAAAACCCCCATGAAATTCCTAAATTGTGGTTATTCAAATAAAGTGCATGTTCCTTTCTAAACCTTTACAATATTGCAGTATTTTCCAAAACCTTGATGTGGATAATTTGCATGGATGTGCAGCTGATGTCAAAGAACCGACTCACGATGAATCCTTGAAAGAACCGAACGTCACGATTTCTTTACCAAGTAATTTGAAGGTTCTTCCAGTTTCGGTCTCGCCAATCCAAGAGAGTCCCACTGGAAACAGATTGCCTCTCAACCCCCTTGCTGCTCGTGCAGCTCTTGCTTCACTAAGATCAAACTTTCCCAAGAGTACAGATGCTAAAGTATTGGCAATGTCAATGGACACAAGTCCAAATATCGAGAGCATTGCAAAGACACTCTTCCCAGCACCGAGCGCTCCTCAAGCACGTGTAACGCGAAGCAAAAAGAAAAACATGTTTCCAGAAAAGGATACAAGTCGACCTTCAGAAACGAGGCTTACTCGTTCGAGAACTCAGGAAAATAACAGAGCAGATGAATCTTGTGAAATCAATGGTGAAAACGGTGTGGATTCTGCTGAGAACAAAAAGAAGATGAAGCTTACTCGTTCTCGAACTCAGAAAAATAACGGAGCAGATGAATCTTGGGAAACCAATGGTGAAAACAGTGTGGATTTTGCTGAGAACAACAAAGGCCTGTCAGGAAAAGATGAAATGATTGCTAATGTCAAACATGAGAAGGTGGTGATTTTTGCTGAGGATGATGCTGAAAAGCACAATTGCCGCAAAAGGATTACACGTTCAGCTGCTAGAGAGGAGACAACGAAGGGTAATGTGCGACCCGAATCAAAACTTGGAAAAAGCATCTTCTCCGAATTAAACGAAGAGGATGTGTTTAAGGGGAATTGTTCAACCGAGATCAAGAAAGTCAATATCACTCCGAAAAACGAAGGTATAATGTACATGATATATAGCATCTCTCTTTTACTATGAACTGTAGTCTGGCTCACTACATGAATGCTACTATTTATATGACAAGTCACCAAAGTGTTTCAAATAATTTTGATTTGTGCAAGTCATATTTTCCCATCGAAAGTTTGAGATGCCCATACCATACATTTCCCAATATTTGTTCTACTTTTCTATACCTACATTTTGCTTTCTCTATGGTGAAGTTGCTATTGTCCTCTAGTGCAATTTCCTTTTTTTTTTTTATTGTAAAGAAATGAATATCACAGCCATTTTCACGATGATCTTCGGATGACAGGTTTTGGGAGCTGGAAAATCTTCTTGATTTGTTTTTTTTATGTACTGAAAATCTATTTCTGAAAAGAGTAATTATAATTCTGCAGATGGTGTTACTGGCAATAGCAAATGTACAAGGCAGAAGTTTGTTAGTGCAACAAAACAGCAAACACGTTCTTCTCCTCGTCTCAAGCTTCTTCCTCGAACCCATTCCTAGACAAAAGGGTAATTAAGCGGGTATTATTTTCGTAACGACCAATATTTTGATCCTTGGCATACTAAGCGGGTATTTATTTTCGTACAAATATTATGGCACGTGTAATTGTGACAGTCTCTCCATCTTTAAGGATGAAGAACATGGTTTATGTAAGAGTGTAAGAAACTAGCCTTTTGTATCTAGTGGAAACAATCACATGACAAAATTTTCCATAATGCCGATAAAACATGGATGTATTATGTACTTACCAAAACTAATTAGCATTCGACTGATATCTCTACTTCGTAGTTTTTGACATAGGTAATGTCCTAAAGAGTTCAAACCAGCTCTATTTCAATAAGTAGTATATGTATATGTGCTTGCTATTCACTCATTCTCTTTAATAACCAAAAAAAAAAAAAAAATTTGCGGAGGATAAAATGCTAGAATTACCATTACTTAGTTAAAAAGGGTCTCTAACTTTCAAATGCAACTATAAATTTCTAAATCCATCATCAAGTTTCTTCCATGTTGGAGTATTGCTTACATGATACACAAGTGGACAGAAGCTGCGAGCCCAGAGGACTCAGATGGCAACGAGTAATTGGTTTAGTTAATGATTGGGCCCCTTAAGAACCACGTGAGCCCAATATTTGATCCAATACGACCCAAATCAAGCCCCTTGACCTCCCAAGAACTGAAACTGGTGCCAGCCTATTCACCCAATACGACTAGGGGTGTAACTTAGTGTAGCTATTCGAAGTCGACTTTCTTCAAGCTCAGCAAATTCGAGTTCAATATAAAAGCTCTTTTATATATATATTATATATATATAGTTTTGAGTAAACTCGTTTAAATGCCCATGGTTTATATTATAGCGATTAATTTTTGCTATATATTACATCTATTAATAATTACTAGATAGTTTTCAAATCTACTCCCCAAGTTGTAAAACGAAATGAATTGCACATTAGTTTAGCTCGATTTGGCTCGACTCAACTTGACTTGTTAAAGCTCAAACGGTTTGAGTCGAGCTCGTGTTCCTTTAAACTTGTTAATGCTCGTTATTTTCGAGAATAGAGTTTTAACGTAATTTTTTGAATCCTTAGTTTAGCTCAACTCGTTAAAGTTTATATGTTTGACTCGATAATATTGATAAACGAGTTGAACTCAAACTCATTTAGTTAAGAGCCGAGCTTGAGTATCATCATTTTAAGTTCGGCTTGGCTCGTTATATCCCTACACTAAAGAAAATGAGACGGACAATCTAAAGTTAGGTTCATCAACCCCACCTAGCCAAACACTATAATTTTAAAAATCAGTGAAAGCTCAACTCGACTCAGACTTGTTAAAACTTTCTATATGAGCCGAGCACAAATACCTCAAATCCTAGTCGGAATCGGCTCAACGGAAACCAAATTGAAGTTCGAATCTTTCAATGCGTGGGGCCCACTCTATTTATTTCTAACGACTTTCTATTTGTGTCTCTTCATACATCGCCAATGGGCATTGAGAGAGGGGTTGGTGGGAACACCAAATGTATTGTGAGGCTTTTTTTTTTTCAAAAGGTTTTGATGAATTTGAAGAACTGAAATACGGTCAAAACGTTGAACAACACGGACTTGAAAATTACTTGACGAGTTGAATACGATGTTTTGTTGTGTGATTTGATTCTCTAGATATAATTTATTGGACTAACGACGAAAGGGGACTTTATGACAGACATAGAAGTATAAAATAATGAGAAAATTAAAAGAAAAATAAAAATCAGACATATGACTATATAGGGAGCTGGATTTCTGGTCCATGCTTGATTTTCCTGCAATTTTTAAAACTCAGTTTGAAACGTGATTTTCTTGTAATTTTTCTAATTATCAGTGAGAAAAAATCCTTGAAAGTTCATTGATAGTTGAAGAATAATTTCCAAGGCATTTGTCAATATAATTGATGTAACAAAATGAATCAATTCCAATGCATTTGTCAATACTTGATGTAACAAAATGAATTTCTGTTAATCAATTTCTAAGATTCTCATGTTTGTTAACTCTTAATTTTAGATTTAATTTTACTTTTTAAGAGTTGATTTACTTTGTCAAATTGGTTTATCAAATGTGTGTTTGACAACTTTTTGGACTGCTATTTTGCTAATACTATAATGAAAATGATAATGGATACTTTTGACAAATTCATTCTGTAAATCAATCTCATAGAGCAACTTTACTCTAATTTTTAATAGATGAAGAATTTACATAATGAAATAAACCCATCCTGTTATAACAACTTATGAATTTTCAGAAATCACCTGTCAAATCAAATTGATTAATAAACTGTTACTAACTCATTAACCATTAAGTAGTTTCTTTAATCAAATTTAGCATATCCTCACAACCATCTCACACGCATAAACACCTTTAGAAATCAATAGAAAATTAGAAATCATGCTCGATCTTGGTCAAGATTAAGAAAACTTTGGTGGATTAACATATTTAAGAGCATTTTCAATGCTCAATGTTGTAGTACCAATTTACATTCCACATCAACACATTTATTAATATTACAACTTTTCATCCTCCAATGTACAATGTGATCACAAATATTGTGATGATGTGGACATAATTAATGTCTACAATGTAGAGAAGAATGTGGTTCATCCACATTCTCCTCCACACTCTAGTTAGCCAATGAAGAGAAGAGAGAGAATTACTATTACCATTTTTAAGCTATTTAATTATTTGATTAACTTTATTAATGCATATTAAAATTTTAATATTTGGTAAGTAAATAATATTGTAATTTGAAGATGATGTTTTAATTTAATAATTGTGAACTCAACATTTATCCTACATGGTTCACAATTTACTTAATTTTTTTATATTTGTCAAAATTTATCCTACTACAATATTAGAGCATTGGAGATAGCTCTGAAAAGAGGCAAAAACTTTTTTCTCTTTTAGTGACTGAATACGATAGATGATGCAATGATGCTGAGATTTAATTTAACATATTAAAAAGATTGTATGAAATTATGAATAGATTTAGTGAATCCATAAAAAGACCATGAACAAATTATAATAATGTACTAATGCTCTAAAAAGAAAAGTGAAAAGTACTGATACAAAATATGAACTTTTTACTGCAGATATGTTGGGCATTTACCCAAAAAATAATATTGTTTTCCCGTCAAAATATATTTTGTTACTAAGTAAATAAATTTTTTAAACATTATTTTCTATATATATATATATATATGTATTTTTTTATTTAGGTAATTTTTTCTTTACCATTTGATGTGAGACTTTTATTTTTATTTTAGATAATATTATATCAATAATTGATAATCTATTGATTAAAATTTCTAAAGGTTATATTTTATTTCTACCTAATCTATTTTTATTTTTATTCATAGTGATATGATATCAAAAATTTAATATCAACCTATTTAAATACCAACAATCAATAACTCCATTTATAATTATTCTATAATTTTCTTTGAAAGATATAAATTAGAAAATATGGTTATAAATTAATCAATCAAAGATAATTATTTATAAATTAATAAAAATATAAAATTAAAAATATATTTTGAAAGGACTAGATTAAGAAATTTTCTAACTATTATTATTATTAAAGTATATAATTTTTATTTCGTTGTCTGCTTTTTTTCATTTTCATTTTCTTATTCAGTATTAATTTCATTTTCGTTATACAACTTAATAAAAAATAATTTTTTTCCATTTTTTATATTTATTATTAAATTAACCTTCTTTTACTATCAATTTAACACTCAACACTAACTAATATTCCATAGATAAAATGAACTTAAATTTATTAATATATATTTAAAAATAAAGAATTAGTCTCAAGTTATTTTTTGTAAAAAATTATAAATGCATATATAATCCAATGAATTTAGAATAAAATTATTTAGATAGTAAATGGTATGTTTATCCCTCATGATTTTAAAAATTAATACATAAAAATCTAAAAATATAAGAAAACATTATTTTGAGGATCAAGTATATAGGATACTAAAATAATAATTCAACTGATCATTTTTTGAACTTTCTTATGAATTATTAGATTATAAATAATTAAAATATTTATAATATGTATTGCTATAAATTACGATAACTCTATGAGTAAATCAATGGAACTGTGATATAAATTATTAGCTTAGAAAGCAAAATATTAATATTTATAATATTTTTTATTTATGATGACAAACCAATGGATCATGAGCTCAACTATTCATGTACACTATTAATTTAGAAAGAAAAATAAAAATATTTTTAATATGTATTATTATAAATTATAATAATATAAAAACGAGTCTATGAAAAACGATGTAAACCGTTAGTTTATCAAAATTTTAAAATATATATAATGTATATTGTTATAAATTATACTTGTAAATCAGTTGTTGTCAAATTGTCATGTGAATTATTAGATTGAAAAGAAATTTAAAATATTTATAATATACATTATTATAAATTATAACAAAAAAAATTATCATAATTTTTACGTATTAAAAATTAGTAAATTTTATTACTTTAAAATCATAATATATATACATATATTTTTAAAATAAGTTTACAACATTTGTTACAATTGTCCAATTTTATCACCACTTATTTATGAATCGAAATAATATACTAAAATAAAGTGTAAGTAATGAAAGAAATAGAGAAATATATTTGTTAGTATTATTAACTTATTACTAATGTTTGAATGAGTTAAATTTTAATATTTTTTAATTCTACATAGGAACTGTAAAATGAGAGCTATTTTTATAAGTATTATAGATCAAACTATTATATATTTTGAAAATAAAAGAAAAATAAATATTAATTCTAATGTCCAAAACAATTTTTATATTAACCAATATTTGTTCATTGCTTTAATTTGTACAACTTATCACTACTGACTCATGTACTATATGGGCTATGTATAATGGTTAGACATTGCCTAAACTCGGTTCCTGGTCGAAATCTCCAGTTCTAGGCTGCGTTGGGGACAAGGGCGAAACCAGAAAATTAGTTGAGAGGAGGCAAAAGACATAACATAATGAGTTCAGAACCGATAGCGAATCGATTACCGTTACACATAAGTCAGTTCGGTTCGGTTTATTTTCTCATCGGTGCGGTTCGGTTCGGTCGGTCAATAAATACCAGCCCTAGCTTGGGCAATAAAAGAGAGTTGAAGTCTTTTATATAGGTCAATTAAATTTGTATAATGATAAAAATTAATGTACAAAAGTAGTAGTAAAATAAAAAAACTGTTGAATTGTTAATTGACAATTGTGGATAAATTGGCCCAACGAGTGACATTTAGAAACAAAAAATATGGGGGTGCAAAATTAAATTTAAAGGGAGACAAATTAAAATTTTTAATATTTATAGTAGAAAAATAAAATTTGAGGGGGTAATTGCCCCCCTATTAATACATCTACATTCGCCCCTGGTTGGGGAGACCTGAACCGGCCCGAGAACATATATGGGCCGGTTCAATGAACTGGTGATTTCCAACCTGTACATGAATCGCCGGTTTTAGACCAGTTCTATTTATTCAATAAAAAAAAAAAATTAACAATAATAAAAAAATAAAAATTAAATTGTCGGTTCAAAATTTATAAATGCTTGAACCGAAATCGATCTAGATTAAACCATGGACCGGTTCAAGGCCGTGGTCATATCTATTAGTGGTTGGAAAATGATTGCATTTTATGCTATATTGCATAATTTTCTCTAATCTCAAGTACCATTTGCATGCAGACGCAAAAATCTTATCAAACGTCAATGTATATAATTATGTGACACATACTATCATAGAAAATGAACACTTTTCACGCGGATTAAGAATTCAATTTTCCAGAATCACCATGATTATGAATGGCCTCAAGGCTCAAACAGCGAACTTTGAATTTTAGGCCGAAATTATTTCATATGAAAATGTAAGTGGGCAAACAAACTTTAATTAATTGACATAAAAATTTTGCCGTACAATCGTTTTGACTAAACAATCCAAACAGCGGGAAAAAAGGGAGAGAAAAGAAAAAAAATAAAAAAATCCAAACAGCTGGTCAATCATCCGAAACGGATGTTAAACGGCATCGAAATTAGAGCGAAAATAGCATAATTAAAATTACTATGAAGAGAAATTTAATAAAAAAATAAGTGGACGTGACTGTCTCGACCAGAAGAATTTAAAAGTGAATAGTCCGACCGAAACAAACAGCGGACGACATTTGAATCAAGTTGGACAAAATATAGTAAATTTTATTCTTTCCATTCATAATTAGTATTTTTTTTTTTTTCATATATATTTTTAACCTTAGTGTATTAAGTTTGATGTGCAAAAATTGATGTTCTTTCCTGGAGACATGAAAAGTTTTTTTATCTCATAGTCATGTTTTATTCTATTGGACAATTGACGTGCATAATTATGATGCCTTAGACATATAAATGGCATGATGAGCCGACGACTCGGCTCTAGATTGAATCGGCTGGTTGAAAGCTCTAATTCGTGTGAACCACTGAAGATGACTTGTAAAAAGGGACCGAAAGGGTCTCTTAGCGTTAGCACTCCGACACACAAGTCAATATAGGGAAAGAGGATGATGATAAGCTCTGTAAGTAGAGAATTTTAAAGAGTACGTAAAGCGAATGCCGAGTATTTCATTTGTATCTCGACCCCTTTTATAGGGGATACTTGTTGCCCGAATTACCCGAGTTGCCGTGGTCAATTTGCCCGGGTTGCCCGTGGTCAGCCTACCCGGCTGCCTGGAGTTGATCTTATCTGCTTAGTATTCATCCTCATCCTAATCATGTCCTAGTCGTCCTTAGATTCTTTCTTACCACCATAAGATTTCTTCTTAACCCTATCTGTTTGTTGTGGTCATTAGGTCATCGTGACTCTCTTCACAAGTCGTCAAGTCGAATAGGTTCATTAGATCATCTCATTTGATGTCGCCCGAAGGGCCTGTAGGTCATTCGAGTGATTCTGGCTATTCCAGGCCTCCAGGTCATCCGAGCGCCGACGACATGGTTCTACGTTGAACCGGCTGTTTTGCCTGAACCGTATAAGATGACCTGCAAAAATGGGCCGGGAAGATCTTCCGGGGTTGGCACTCTAATGCTCAAGTCAGTATAGGAGAAGAGGATGATGATAAGCTCTATAAGTAGAGAATCGTAAAGAGTGTGTAAAGAGAATGTAGAATATTACAGGTGCACCTCAGCCCCTTTTATATGGGATACCTAGCTACTACCTGAATTGCCCGAGTTGCTTGTGGCCAGTCTGCTTAACTGTCCAGGTTGCCCGAGGTCAGTCTACCCAACTGTTCGGAGTTGATCTTATCTGCTTAGTGTTCATCCTCATCTTAATCACGTCTTAGTTATCATTAGATTCCTTCTTATCTCCATAAGATTCTTTTTTAATTATCCCATGTAAATCTGTTTGTTGTGATCATCAGGTCTTCGAAACTCTCTCAACTAGTCGGCAAGTCACGACGGTTCATTAGATCGTCTCACCGTAAGTCGTCTGAAGGCCTATAAGTCATCAAAGTGCTTCTAGCCATTCCAAGGCCTCCAGGTCGTTTGTGTATTCCTGGTCGTCGAGTCTCCTCTAGACGGTCTTCAGGTCGCCTTTGTAAAAGATAGGTCGTTTAATCGCACGATCGACCCATTCATACTTATGTTATTCCGATTAGCCCAGTTATGACTATATTATGACATTTATTCAATGAAATGTAACATGCATTTAACATGATTTTAGAATAGAAAATTTGATCTTTCCTGCATAGGACCAACTTAGTAAACCAAATATAAAATTTCATCCACTATATTATTTTTATGTCAATTCCAAATCCAAACAAAATTAATCCCCTTTATTGTTCAAAAGAGAAAAACTTTCAAAAAAGCTCTAAATCCAATTGCCTCCACAGTTTCTGGAATTTCATCCGATATAGATGTGCCGATTACTGAAAGAATCAGTGAATCAAAAAGATCAACTTTTTTTCTTTACATCTGTAAATTAGGTTGGTTCAAGCTAGTGTTGTAATATAAAATTACCTATTAATTGCAGTAATTGCATAGTGCTGGCAATGCATCTTTAAGCATAGTACAGATAAATCCATACTATATTCACATTAAAGGTTTTTCTTACACAGCCTAATAGATTGCCACTCATATTTTTTTCCACATATCCTAACTTTAAATTGGTTGAAATCTTATACTTAGAAAATGACATTCGCAAAGTTTTAAATTTAACAGTACGTTAAGTCTTCTATTAGGCCGAAGTATTTTACAACTATGTACACTTTCACTAAAAATTGTCATAGTTTCAATAGTAACATATATAAAAGTATGACATTTGATAATATAAGTATGCATTTTTGTTTTGAAAGTATGACTGGTCGACCTGCCTAACGATTAAATTTCTCACACAAGAATTTGTGTTTGCATTGTAAGTATGCATTTTTGTTCAAAAAGTACGACGACTCGACCTGCCTAACGATTAAACTATCTCACACTAAAAATTTGTATTCACTTTATAAGCATGCATTTTTATTAATCAAGTGTAACAATAAGTCCACTGCAGACAATAATTTCTTTTATATGTAACTATTCACATGTAACATTATCAAACATTCTCTATTGTACGCATTACGTATAGGCTGTTACTAAAAAAAATGCTAGCAAATCTCCATATTTTTCACCCGCTCGTGACATTTCTTTTATATGTAACAATAATCACATACATCATTATTAAATATTCTCTAGAGCACGCACCCTATTACTTATAGACTCTTACTAAAAAGCTAGCAAATTTCCATATATATGCGTGCGTGTGTGTGTTTCATGCATTGTCTTTCATCTCTTGATGTG